TGAGAGAAGACTTCAGTTTGTATTAAGATAAGACTCTTAGAGAGTTTATCCTAATCTTACTGTGAATCCAAGATTAGCAGTAATCCTGAATCCATAGAAGTTAGGCTTCTATTGGGACTAGGTTTATGTTGGCTATAAAAGAGAGGCACCCCCATGGGTCTAAGGTATGCTTTTGATACTCAAGCTTGTGAGTTTAACACTTGATTTATCTTTGAGAGATATACTGACTTGATTGTCGGAGTGCCCTCGGGTGGACGAACCACCACCGAAATCTTCTCTTTCTGTTGCAGGTCAGCCAGGTGCCATCTATTCTACCGGTGCTCTCCAGCTGGTTACTAAGCGGGCAGTGTGGTCAGAAAATCACTCACACAGGTTATAATACACACCATTTGTATAATTACCATAAAAGACAAACTCAATATAATACACATTTTTATTCTCAAACATTACGTACGTATCTTGTCTGTCAACAACCCTAAAACAAAATCCAAAACCCTTGAAAGAAACAATCAAAAATATACATATTATTGAAGATTTTGATTAGATTGAATGATGGATACATCTGCCAACACTGATTTGGAAAAATGGAGCAAGGAAAAGATTATTTTTTCATTTTTTTTTTCGTTTTCGTGTATTTGCTGAGGGTGTAAACCGCTTGTGTTAGTTCGGTTATTCAAAGTCGAATAGTATATTTATGTTTGACTACCCACAACCGTACAAATTGATTTTGTTTGATCTATTACTGTCGAACTTAGCTCATTTTTTCGGTTTGTATGTGTCGAACAAAAACTATATGTTCGGATATCAAGTATATATTTTTTTTGGGGGGTTAGAACGGTGAGGATCTCTTATTATACTTTCAAATCGATTATTTTTTCCAACTCGTATTCAACTCAGTGAAGAGATCCTAGAAGACTTCACCAGTGAATATACTTTCAACTCGTATTCATAGAGATCCGAACATAAGTGAATACTTTCAACTCATATGATCCTTACCAGTAATGAGAAAAGAAAGTGTATTCAACAATGGTCTTTACCGGTTCAAACAGAGAATGAAGGGAGAGATGGAAATATTGTGGGTGGGGTAGAGTAGGGTGGGTGGGTGAGGGTAAAGATGGAAGATTGTGGGGTGGGGTGGGGTGTGTGAGTAAGGGTAAAGATGAAAGTTTATGGTGTGTATTGAGAAAAATATTTATTTATCAAAATATTAAGGACGTGCCTTAAGTAATGGTTTGGCTTGAGATAAAATGTGGTGTGTAAATAGAGGCATCCTTAATTTTAGGAAGAGAAATGTGATTTGAAGAGAAACTTGTATTAAGTTGTTAACTAATGGTTTAACAGAGGGGGTAATATGTAATGTGACCATTAGTTTTAGGAAGAGTAATGTAATTTTCAGAGAAACTTGTATTAAGTGCAAACTTTAAGGGGTGTCAGTGTAACTTATTCTAAAATAATTTTTGGAGTAACAGGTGGGAAAACAGAAGGCACGTCCACTGCCACGTGTGAGACAGAACTCGCCACGTCTATCTAGAATCCTTGCTACACCTGGGATTGCATGCAACTGTATTTCCTAGCTAAAAGGGCACAGGCACAGGCACACATTCTCATCTGATTGATCAACTTCTGCTTCAAGAGAGAGAGAGAGAGAGAAAGAGAGAGAGAGAATATTTGCACCCACCAAAAGGTGTGCATGGGGTTACAGCAAATTTGTCTCTAGGATACAATGAAACCTGATATAAAGATCAAGTCTATCGGCGTTTGTACTGACGACAATAGATCAGAATACTCTTGATATAATCAAGAAAACCAAGACACTAATAATTAAATATGCAGAACTTGATTATCAGTAAGAAAAATAGAAATTTGTTTAAGAAACTCTTAATCGAAAATTCTAAATCAAGAGGGAGGGAGAGAGAGAGAGAGAGAGAGAGAGAATTATAGGAATGCCTTTTGAATTTTTAGATGGATTGAAATGGCTGAATTTGTAGCCTAGTTATAGGCCTTGATGCATTTGATTGAATGGTCATGTCCCTTGATTGTATTTGATCAGATCTGACCATTGGATCGACGATCTATGGTGCAGATCATTCTCACACCGAATAGCTGCCTTGATTGATCACACCTGATTACGATTGGGTGCCATCTCATCTGTACGATTGCGCGCATCTCCAATCAATGGCTATGATCAAACCGTTCCAGATTAGACATGCAACAGTTTGATCAGTTGGTTGACTCATCGCCAATGAATGCCACATCACTACCACATGGAGCTGACTATATTCCACGTCACCCATGCCACGTTGGATCCACGTCATCGTTCCAACCTGTCCGATGCAAATAGGAAAGTGCCCTCATGGTGCCTTGCGAAGTGCAAAGTACGCCATCAAACGCCACACAGCCCACGCTGCGCGCGTGTATGGATGGTGCGAAGCACCATCCTTGCAGTGTATGTGCATGCACACTAGCTTTCACCTCACAATTTTATATTTAAAGAAACATTTCATGTAGCACTTTATTAAGTGTTCCATGTTTTCCTCTTTTTCTGATGTGAGACAAAGTCTCCAAGCTTATTTCAAGCTTTTCAAAGAAAAATAAGGAAGGTTTTGAAAACACCCAAAAATTAAACTATACATTTTAGGGCAAATTACACTAACAGTCCCTATAATTTGGGACTCGTGTCACTTTGGTCGTTTACTTTTCAATTATGACACATTTGACCTGAATTTTGAATCTTATTCCAAATAAGGACAATTGAAGATACCATTATTTAATTTCAAGGGTAAAATCGTCAATTTAATAAAATATAAACTAATTTGACAAAAATAAATGTCAAAAAAATATTTTTAATTTTTTAAAAATTATTTTTATCCACTAATGATAAAATTACGTAAAATTGATAAAAATTAATAAAAATTACGTGATTAATTTTTAAAAGTTAGTTTTACATGATCATCATCCAAACACATAATAAAAATTAATTTGGTAAAAAAAAATAAATGTCTAAAATATTTATCAATTTTACATAATTTTATTTTTAGTGGGTAGAAATAATTTTTAAAAATTCAAAAACATTTGTTTGACATTTATTTTTGTCAAATTAGTTTATATTTTATCAAATTGACGATTTTACCCTTGAAAAATCTAATAATATCTTTAATTGTCCTTATTTGGAACAAAATTCAAAATTCAGGGTCAAATATGTTACAATTGAAAAGTCATGGACTAAAATGACATAAGCCCCAAACCATAGAGACTATTAGTGTAATTCACCCTATATTTTAAAAACCATTTTGAAAACAATAATGATTGAGGCCTTCTTTTTTTCCAATAACAAAAATTCGTAGGGATTAAAACCAAGGTGGGTGAGTGATGATGACGGATGTGGGGCTTTGGTAAATCGATTACCTTGTTAAATTTCCTTTTGGAATATGTTATTTTAATAATTTTTTAATTTTTTATTTAAAATATGAATTAAAAAAAATTAATATATTTGAGAAGTTATTAAAAAAATATTTTTTGTAAATAAAAAAATTAATTTGACATTTAACTTTTAACATTTTAACTTTTTATGAAAAGGTATAAAAAAATAAAATATTTATCTTTTTATATAAATTGTTAACTTTTTGATGTTTTAAATAATTTTTTAATTTTTAGACTAAAATTAAATATTATCAAACGAGGCCGAGCCACTTCCCTGTTTGTTTGCCCAGTGCTCATAGTGCTACAAAACCGATGCCTGATGAACCATAGTTTCCAAGACTATTTGGTACGTGGATATAAATCAAATTGATGCTTGAACCATCTTCTTATTCATTCATACACACATATATATATATATATATAAATAATTATAATAATAATTAGATGTACATAGATGTGATTGTTCATTAAATGGATTACCAGAACAATTGTATATTATGTCTTTTTATAGTTATATTTTAGTTGAATTAAGAATTTATTTTGCAACTTGAACTGTTACTTTCTTATTTCTTGTATACATGATAATTAAACACCGTAAAGAAATTTCCATTTCATATACTTAGTATTTTCAGTGGTGTCTTGGCAGTGTTGATGGATGAAGTGTTCATGGTGGTGCAATGATAGTGGAGGGTAGAGGAGAGAAGAGGGAGTGTTGAGCTGTACATGGATCGAACCCATTCACAAAAAGATTTGAGAAAGATAAACAAGAAAGGTAGAAAATTTTTGGTCTCATAATCTCAGAGGCAAAATTGGCATTTTATAAAAAAAATTATTGATGACATCATCACAAGCTATTAAGGGGTTGTTTGGAGTGTCCTAAATAAGTGTATTTTTTGTCTTTTTAGACTAAAAAAATATGGATGTTTGGGTTAACTTTTTGACTTTTATAAAAAAATGTATATTAAAAAATTGTATAAATTAATGTGTAGGAAAAAATTAGGATTGGTAGTTGTGCAGTCTTAATTTTTGACTTTTGGTGAATAATGATAACTTTTTAACTTTTTGAGTAACTTTTTAATTTTTTTCAGAGTTGCCAAACTTGGCCTAAGTTAACTAACAATTTACTAACAGAGGGGGTAATATGTAATGTGACTATTAATTTTAGGAAGAAAAATGTAATTTCCAGAGAAACTTGTATTACCCGCGAGCCCCAAGGGGTATTAGTGTAATTTTTTGTATTTAGTTGAGTGATTTGAAAAGGGACTTGAAAAAGAAAAAGAAAAATGCGAGTGAAATTAGATGAAATATAAATATATTTTTATTCACATTTCACCTATTTTTTCTCTTTTTTCTTTTCAAATTTCTTGTCAAATATCCTAACCAAATAAAGCGTAAAATAATTTTTGGAGTAACAGGTGGGAAACAGAAGGCACGTCCACTGCCACGTGTGAGACGGAACTCGCCACGTCTATCTAGGATCCCTGCCACGTGTGGGACTGCATGCAACTGTATTTCCTAGCTAAAAGGGCACAGGCACTCACTCACATTCTCATCTGATTGATCAGCTTCTGTTTGAGGAGAGAGAGAGAGAGAGAGAGAGAGAGAATGGAAGGTGTGAACAAACCTACCCACCCTGAGATCCCAGGTGAACCTACTCAGACAGGGACGTCCCTCCTCGAGAAGGCCACGGCCGCCATTCAAGGGTTCGGTCCCGTCAACAAAATCCACCAACATCTCTGCGCGTAAACCCCCTCCTTTCTCTTTCAAATTTTCTCTTGTTTGGTTGCTAAGAAAATGAATGGAAAATAAACCTCGGGTCTTCTCTGTTTCACTCTTGTGTTCCCTGTTGTTTTCCTTCTCTGATATTCATTTCAAAAAATTCTGATGATGCGTTTTTTCACAACACCGCCATGTATCATGCATGTGATTCCTGTAGATCTTGTATTTGGGAAAGAAAATTAAATTAATAGATAGATAAAACACAAGGTTGATTTTTTTTTTTTCTTCATATACTCTAGTTCTTGTAATTTGTTTCTGTGTCAATTTAATCTCTTATGTTCTATTACATCAATTTTCCCTTTGATTTTTCTTAAAATTGTATCAGTATTTAGTTCAATTGAGAAGTCTGATTTAGGAACTAGGACTCATACTGCAATTAAGGGGTAAACTCTTCTCCAAGTTTTGGTATTCAGGGTTACATGTTATCTCATTTTTTTACCTCATTTACTCACTCCCATACATGAGTCAGTATATTTATTAATGTAAGTAGTAGCATTGTTTTGTTTTGAGCAAATAACACTGGTGATCCTACATTTTATTCTGTTGTCTCTACACTTTTGCTTATAAGTTTGAAAGTGTGAATAAATTTATAATTTTGCTTTTAGAGATATAACACACGTCACTTTTGTGCATGTCTTTTTATAAAAAATGCTTAGAGTCGTAATAATTGGACCAATTTGAGACAGTCATAATCGACCTAATTGAAATATTGAAATTACATGACACTAAAGGCATGTTTGTTTGGGTGGACATGAGCTTGGGATTGGACTAATAGTCCAATAAAATTATTAATCCGATGTTTGGTTAAACAATTGAAGTACGGATTAATTATTTTAAACTTGACTATTAATTAAGATAGGATACATAATCCAACGGATTGGTTGTCCTAGGACTATTAGTCCGCCCAAACAAACATATCCAAGGATAGAGACTACCATCGTGATTTGTCCTTTTGTTTTTAGAGTGCAAAAATGAGATTATTTATTTTATTACTCATAAAAGAATTCGTTCTTTTGGACTGTTTTGGTTTTCAATTTCTTAATCAATATCATTAATTGGAGAAAATTGACACATTTAAAAAAAAAAAAATTAAAAAGGTGAAATTGATATAATTAAAATTATAAAGCTAAATTGATAACAAAGTAAATCACTGGATTAGAAATATATTTGTCCTTTCTTTTTCTTTCAACTGGTTTTCGCGATTTTCACTGGTTTTCAAACTAAGCTTATCTCTAAACCCGTGTCGTCGCATAAACCAGTGATTATCACTGTTCAAGTAAAACACGGGTTTCTCTCTAGTTCATAATCTAGACGGATCAGTAGGGCTTATCACGATTATCATTGAATTAATTTTTTTTGTAAATGATATACACAAAAGATCTTATAAAATAAACTCTCAGTGCTACCATGGGTCGGGTCGGGTCGGGACAACATCCTTCAGTCCATCATTTGGACAGGAGTGAATCCAACTCCCTAATCTAAGTTTATAGTTCTGCACACCTGATGTTTTAATTGTTCAAATTTTATTTTTTGGTCCAAAATTGTTCAGGTTTCATTTTTACTCGCACGACATGAGTCGACAAGTGGAGGCACACCACTACTGTGGGCACCAGAATGAGGAAATGAGGCAGTGTCTTATATATGATAGCCCCGAAGCCAATGCTCGTCTCATCGGGATCGAATACATAATATCTGAGGAATTGTTTTTGACGCTGCCAGACGAAGAGAAGCCACTGTGGCACACTCACGAGTACGAGGTGAAGAGCGGAGTGTTGTTCATGCCGGGCCTACCAGGGCCGATACAGAGGAAGGACCTCGAGAAGGTCTGCAAGACATATGGTAAAACATTCCATTTCTGGCAGATCGACAAAGGCGATAGCCTTCCCCTTGGGCTGCCTCAGGTGATGATGGCCCTCACTAGGGATGGCCAGCTCTATGACAACCTTGCTCAAGGTAACTTAACACTTGCTTCTTTTAAGTTGTTTCACTTGAATAGGACTATCATATATCACTCAAAATAGTTTTAACAAAATTTTGGGTACGAATTTGAAACAAGAGTAAGGGATGGTTTGAGATGTTCTAAATAAGTGTACTTTTTGACTTTTTATGAAATATAAGTTGGGTATGGTTGGGTTTGAAGTGATGTGGTAGAGAGGTGATGCGACTTAAATAAGATGATGTGGTTCAAATAGGATAGTGACTTTTTGACTTTTTTAATATATGCCAAACAAGGCTTAAGAAAGTAGGTGAAATCATTTCACTAGTTTTTATTTTTTATTTTTTTAATTTTTATATAAATTTATGATCTAAATATAGGCCCCTCGGGAAAAAAAATTGTAGAAATTGTTAGGGTAAATTACATCACTAGTCATTTTAATCCTTACAATTTCAATTGGTTCAATTTTAATCTTGAATTTATGATTTTATTTATGATTTTGTCTCAAATTGATTACAATTATTAATTTTTTTGATGGAAAATATTTACATAAATGGCATGTGTTATATATGTGTTTATATGTAAAATTGAAAACTTGTTCAATTAATCTCAACCAATTGGTGACATTTTTCTTCAAAACCCTAATCGACGTTATCAATTAGACAAAATTGATACAAAATTTAAAATTAAAGAGAAAAATCGAGTTAATTAAAATTACATAAATAAAAATGACACAAGGATAAAATGTAGAGACTACTAATGTAATGTGTGGGTGATTTTCCGACCACACTGCCCGCTTAGTAATCAGCTGGAGAGATTACTGCTAATCTGGGACTCCCAGTGGGATTAGGATAAACTCTCTAAGAGTCTTATCTTTACCCAAACTGAAGTCTTCTCTCATTCTAGGACTCTTGTCCCTTATCCAGGTTGAGTTCCCTTTTCATTCTAGGACTCTTGTCCCTTATCCGCTTATCTCGGATTCCGATATCTTCGGAGGCAACCTCGGCCTAGCCAAGATGATCTCGGCACAACGACCAAGACACGTGGCACCTCGGCTGACACGTCGGCGTCACCTTGTCACGTGTTGGTACTCAGAAAATATATCCCCACATGTAATTTACTCAAATTGTTATTTATTACATCACACAACATAACACACTGTATATGTAGGTAGGATTCATTAGACTTGTTTGGGTACTTTTACTCAAATTAAAAAGCTTAATTAAAAGTAAAATTAAAAAATATTTAAATATCTTTCCTTTAAATTTTTATATAATTAATTTTTTTTAGCTTAATCAGCTTATTTTGGCCAAAATTGTAACTAGAAATTGAATAAAAAGACAATTCTTTTTTGTTCTTTTTTTTTTCTTCAACGTTTGTCCTTATATGAGGTAGTTTAGTTGTATTTTATTTGGTTATCCTGCTTGAAATCATTGTTATACTACTTATGTATGTATGGTACAATTTAGGAGAAATTAGTTGAAAGTTGGACCAAAAATATAAAAAAAAAAAAATTAAAATACACAAACATGGAGGGTTGTAAGTTTTTTACTTGCATCCTACCACAGATTCATTTGCATTCTCATATTTTCGTAATTTTTTTTCTCTGCTCCACTGCCAAGTAATTCTTCCTACAAGTTTTCTATGGTGCAAGGATTGGTTTGATATATAGTAAGAGTGGTTGTTGGTTGGGGGGTGTGGATGCAGATGTAGAGAAGCGTTTCGGAGTGTCCTTTGCAAAGGAGAGGGAGAACAGGGCTTACATGAGCGGACTTGCTCATGGCATGCATCCACTTGCTAATGCTGCTGGGAAGGGTCTCAAGACTGTCCTCAGAGAGATTGATTGCAAGCCTGTTGACTCTCTTCCTAGGCTCTTTGTTTGATTATTGATGCCCACATCCTCTGCTCTGCTATACTTATCCTGGATAGCATACTATATACTCTATTATCAGCAGTAAATAATGTTTTTATTTTCTTTCTTCTCAAGTTTAAATGTGGTATGTATGATGTTATTATGTACATACTAGTGGTGGACATAACTTGCTGTAGATTTCCAGTGGTTGCATGCATGTAGTTTTCATGTTACTATCAGTGGTGTTTATTTTGTTCATGCATGGTTAATTCGGAGCCAACACTCTAATTGAGAATGTATATAAACTAATAAAATTACCTTTTCTCTTTAATAATTAAAATTTTTAGATGAGTTGGGTGTTAATAATAATTTGAAAGGTAAATTACAAACACCCCTCGAGGTTTGGTGAAAATATAGATTTCCCCATGAGGTTTGAGAAATTACATCCCGCCTCCTGAGGTTTATATTTCCATAACAAATTGTTCCCTGAGGTTTTTATTTTCATACAGATTCCCTCCTAATTTGTTATGCAAATTTGATCCTCAGAGGGCAATTTGTAATCTCTCAAACTTCAGGGGGGAATTTGTATTTTCACCAAATCTCGAGCGGGGTGTTTGTAATTTGCCCTAATTTGAATTGTGAAAATGATTATTTTTATTTCATTCTATTTTAGTGAACTAAACATTTTTTTAGTTCCACAATTTGCCACTGCCATTGGCCACAATCATCTTGACCAAACCACCATCTTCACTAACTAGCTACCACTATGCACATCTCCATTGAATCAGTCCCCTCCACCACGAACTTGTTTAGATTGAAAGTTCCATCTTTGCACGAGAAGAAATTGAGAGAGAATTGACACCATGCCAAGTTCCCTCTTTAAGTGATGATAACAAGAAGAAATTAAGGGAGAATACACGACAAAGAGTAATGTTGGAGTGTCTTGAAACATTGTTCTTTATATGGCTTAGCAATCCCTAACAATAAATTTGTTCTTGGATATTCACACTGACATGACAAGGGATTAGATTGTAGTTGGTTGATTCATAAGTCAAATCAATAAATTCATTAAACACATTTTAAAATTCGTAAAGGTTTTCAAACTAAGCTTGAATAGTCAAGTGTTCGCTCGACTTGGTTCAGTAAGTTAAAAATTATATAAAATATCTAACTACTTGAGTTTGACTCAATAAAAGTTTGTTTAAGATTGACACGAAAGTGTAACGAATCAAGTTTGAACAAATTTTGAAGCTTGTTAAGGTTATCAAACCAAGCATGAACAATTAATTGTTCGGCTTGTTCGGTTCGTTTATCACCCCTACATACATATGAGACTTCTTCTCAAATTGAGACTCTGTCGACACTGTGTAATGGAAAGAATGACAGAGCAAGATTGTTATAATTTGATATTTTGACACCGTAACAGTGCTATAATTTAACAATAGCATGCCAATATATTGGAGATGCTCTAAAGACTTTGTGAGCCTAATAGCTTTTGGAAACACACACAAGTAAAATTCCACACGGAGGCTATGTTTGTTTGGCTTGATATGGTCTTTGGATTTGGATTAATAATCTCATAAATTGCATAATTCAAATGGTATAATCTAATGTTTGGCAAAAAGGAAATTAGAAAGAATTAATAGTTTATTTGGACATAATAATCCTTATATGAAGAACTATTGAATCCCAAAGGGGTGTGATACAAAAGGAAGACTAAAGAGAAGTTCAGCCTAATTAATTCAACTGTAAAATAGATAGAAATTGGGAGATTTGGTCAAAACCCCTTCATAATAAAACTTTAATGCATAAAAGATAAGTATAAAATTTTTTTCTTAAAAAGCCCAACACATACCACTATTATCAAAATATTAAATTTTAAAATAATATAACTTTTAATGTAAATGTCGATTTTTTAATAAAATTAGTATTTTTAGAATTTTTTCATTAAGATTTATTAAATAAGATTCATATTAACTATGAAATTCTTAATATATATATATATATATATATTACTGTTGAAATTGATGTAATAACAGTAACATGTTATTCTGTTTGACAGTAATATATTATTTTATTTGACAATAACATGTTACTCTGGTAATATTATCCAAGAAAAAAGAAGAAGAAAAAGATATTTTATTTTATCCTTACTCAATTATGTGTTTTCTTTTTAGGAGGTTTATGAAACAAAATACATTGGACTGTCATTTTCACCAAATAAGGGTCCAATGGACGGGTTGTGGCTAAATTTTCCATAGACAGAGATTTGTTAATCTCTTCTTAAGATCTTTAGCCAATTCAAATATAAGATAAGATATACAATTCAAATGGATTGATAATTCAATCCTAGGCGTGCTAATTTCATTTAATCTAACTTGTCCTAACAAACATGCCTGAAATGGAACAAAAATGTGAGTGGTACACGGATTCGGCCAAATACCTTTTTATGTTGTACGATTTGGAAAGGGAAAGGAAAAGAGAAAGGGTAAGGAAAAAGATAGGTAAAATGTGAATAAAATATATCTATATTTCATCTAGTTTCACACACCTCTTTCCTCTTTTTTTTTTTCAAATCTTTTCTCAAATCCTCCAACCAAACCAAACACAATATTAAGCTTACACTTTTGGGTCAAGTTTAAGCCAGGTATGTAAAGCCCAATAAATGTTGGCCCAAATCTACCCAATTCTAATTAGTGGTATCTCAGTCCAACTTGATCCTATGGCCCAAGTTACATCGCCAATGGAAGAAAAAATGGATAAAGTACATCGATCTCTTTGAAAAAAATATAAATTTATAATTTTGATATAATTATATTAATTTCTTTTTTAATAAAATTAAAAAAATTAAATCTAATACAAATAACATAAAAACACAAAGATAAACATAATAAATTGTACACTTAAATATAAAGGAGATCACAATGCTATTTTTATTTATATATCTAACGTAAAATTTCCCATGGAATGAAGAAGAAAAGCGGGGGCTTTTCTCATATTAAGCCAATTTACTATCTTAATTATCAAATTAGGCCTAATTTGGACGGAATTCTCAAATTAGACTAAAGCGTTATTACAAATCATGCTTTCACTGTTTGGAGCAAAAAATGTGATGAATAGTGAAAGCGCTATTACAAACCACGCTTTTAATTATGAAAGCGTGGTTACAAACCACGCTTTTAACATAAGTTTATTTTCTGAAGAAAACGTGGTTTCAAACCATGCTTTCACTGTGCATATGTTTAATTTTTTTTTTCTGAAGAAAACGTAGTTCCAAACCACGCTTTCAGGTTATATACATACGTATGTATGGTTGTTTCAATTTAATTTGTAAAAAATTATTTCTAAAATTATATAAAAATGATTTATATTTACAAAATTATATAATTGATTATTATTTGCTATTATAAATTATTATTATATATATTTAATATTAGTCTCAGTTTTATAAAATAAAATTTATATATATTATAAATTATATATTAAAAACTTATATTAAAATAATATTAGTCTCAATTTTATTAAAAATTATATATGTGTGTCAGAGAGAGAGAAAGAGAGCGTGTGTGAGAATGAAGGCACAGTGTTGTGTTGAAAATGTTAATTCAAAACACGCTTTTACATCTCAACATTGAAAATGTGGTTTCTTCAGAAAAAAAAAATTAAACATATGCACAGTGAAAGCGTGGTTTGAAACCACGTTTTCTTCAAAAAATAAACTTATGTTAAAAACGTGGTTTGTAATAGCGCTTTCACTATTCAACCCATTTTCGGCTCCAAACAGTAAAAGCGTGATTTATAATAGCGCTTTAACCTAATTTGAGAATTTCGTCCAAACTAGACCTAGTTTGAGAATTAAGATAGTAAATTGACTTAATATGAGAAAAGCCCCAGAAAAGCGAGTAACTGACACATGCATTCATTGAACTGAATATCCTTTAATCTTAGGATTTTGGGTCATCATTTGTTGGTAAGAATGACTTGACCCAAGATCAGATGTTCTTACCATTGCTAGCCATGTTGCCCATGATAAGTCAAAGTTCAAATCATTTTTGAAAGGCCCAATATCAATCCAAGTGCACCGGAATAGAGCCCAAAGTCTAATTTCTAACAATTGCCACTCTGCCAATAAAATACACTTGAGTCAAACGGAGTTTCATCCTTTTCATTCTATACACGTGCAGATTTCCGTTACATATTTAATAACTATAAAATAAGAATACAAAATTATAATTATTTTAAATTAAAAAAGAATATTACACTCACCATTAGATGATGTAATCAAGCATCTCATTTACAAATATACAATGAAAATAATCACAATTTGAATCAAATACTACTACAAATGCAATAAACCGAGTCCAATTTTGTTCATATATTTTTTGAGTGTGAAAAATACATATATTTTGATTGGCGTAGAATAATACGGCCTACCATTTTAGATAGGGTCAATATACTAATTAAATATAAAATACCAATCTTATTTTGTGCATTGTTCATAGACTAAAAAAGTGAATAAATTTATTTTCAATAAAACACGATAAGCAATCGGATTTTTTTACTCAAATTTAGGTGATGTCTCAATTTGATAATGATATATATTGAAGTTCATCACCTTTGTGTTGGCTCAACAAAGTGATTGATGTGTAGCATTGCTGCAAAACCAATTAAGTTTTAATAAAACACAACAAACATCATTAGATCAATTGGTAGAAGCCATACCATATAAGCAAGACTATGAACACAATGCACTCAGTCTGCAGTCAAACATGCTCAACAAACACAGAGATCAGATCAGATATATTAAATTTATCAGTGTCTGGCAAAAAAAAAAATACAAAAAACTGATAAAGATTATAAATATTAATAATTAAAATCATGATTTTTTTTTTATTAATATGTAATAATTTTTAAACATTACCGTTGAATGGTAATTTTCCTTATTTTTTTTCCTATGTTTACACAAGCTTTAAAAGTAGCTTGGTGTTGTGTGGTTTGAACCACTAATACAAAAAGAAAAGGAAAAAAAAGAAAAGAAATTGATAGATGTCATTACCACAATAGTATATCCACTTTTCTTGATTTCCAAGGCTTTCAAGGTTGTGAGCTTTAGGGACATGTCCTCCAACAGTAAACCTAGTTTTTTTTTTTAATTTTTTATTATTATCAATAAATAAAAATTTCATCAAAAACATGAAATTAAAAGGTACAGAAAGATGTTATGCATTAAGAGAGATTCAGAAAATACAAATATCTCTTTGCAACCATACAACCAATCCCTCAATCGCACAATTTTTTTTTT